ATAAATCACCCACTTATGAAAAAAAATTCATAGAAGAAAGGAAACTTTATGGAGAAAAGGAACAAGGTAATTTTTTAAAAAATTCAAGCCACCTTGAATTTGGTGATTTAGAGTATTCAAGACCATTTAGTAAAATAAATATTTAGTGGAAAGCTTAATATTCTAGTAACCATGAAAGGTGGAATGAGATACCAAAACCTATACTAAGTTCCCCTCCCTAGGCTGTCATTTGGCAAGGATGCCATAAGAATTCTGAATCAGCCATGTCTAAGTAAGTTAGTTGTAGGAGTTTTTCTATTCAAAACAGCCTAGTTACTAAATAATTCGAATGATTGAGAATTAACCAAAGAGTCAAAAATAGCCTGCTTGCAAAGGGAAAAATAACTTTGAACTGAGAATCAATGATTTTCTGGGATAAGTTTTTTAAATGGAGTCAGGGAGTATCTACTCCAATTGAGGTGATTCATTCCTGTAAGATTTTCAAGGCTGTTAACTCTTTACTACCACATCCTCTATCTGCAAAGCCAGACTCTAGAATCATGTTGTGCGCAACTCACTGGGAAGTTGTAGGGAAAGGGGGAGACGTAGATCGTAGATCGTTGAGGTGTTTAAGGGTTGCCACGGGGAAGAAGAGCAGTATTTGTTTTGAAAGGTCAGAATATGGACATGTGTTTGGAAGTTAGTTTTCCATTCAAGACGGGAGTTTTTCATTCAGCCAGGGCTAAAGCAAGATAGTGACTTCCAGTCACTGAAGTCACCCAAGCTGTGGCTGGACAGGTATATGGTAAAGATACTAATCAGGACACTTGTTGGGGTTAGCTGGTTCAGTGACCTAGTAAATGTTATCTTATCTTTAAGAGATATTTCTATGAGAGGTGCCTGGGTGGCTCAGTGGGTTAAGCTCAGGTCATGATCTTGTGGTCTGTAGATCCGAGCCCCTTGTCGGGCTTTGTGTGTGTGTGTGCCTGGAGCCTGCTTCAGATTCTGGGTCTCCCTCTCTCTCTGCCCCTCTCCTGCTCGCACTCTGTCTCTCTCTTTCAAAAATAAATAAACATTAAAAACGTTACTAAAAAAGAGATATTTCTACGATCTAGAAGTGGAATTGGCAAAAGAAAAATTTCAAAGTACAAGATTTACAGTAAATCATTCACACATAATAAAGTTTGAACCTCTTACTGTGTCTGCACGTACAAAACATGTTGGGAAATCTTACATCATCTATACAATCAGTGAAATGTAAGTATTTTTTTAACATATGTTTTAGTTACTAATATATAACTTTGGTTAAAGTATCTTCTCTTGTGTAGCCTCTCTGATCAGTCATATTCTTAGTGGGGTCAGATGCAAATCTGGGCGCTTCAGATGAAGTATGCATTAAAAATATTCCCCAGTTCCAAATTAAACTTTCCATAATTTATTGTTATTTATTCAAGAAACAGTTTTCTGTAATTATTCATCTCCTTTAAGTTTATCTAAGTCCTTTCTGAAAAAAGCCATATTTTTTAAGCAAGAATCTGTTAGATATTGTCACATATATGATTTAATTTAAACCTCACAGTAGCTCATTTTGAATGTTCTAATTATCTAACATCTGAATCTGAAAGTGTGAACTATTGTTTGCCTGTTGAACAACCTCATGGAAATAATAATACAACACACACACAAAACAGAAAGCACAGTGTCTCAGACAGAAAGTTCACATGAGATTTCACATGCTATAATATGGGTATAGGTATTCATAATTATCCACTTCTGTGTTGTAATTTATAGAATCATTTGAGAGCTTGTTACCAGAGAATAAGTTAGAACCTTTGAGGTGGGGAAGGAAATTGAAAAGTAACTAGACATAAGACTTGAAGACACTGAATGTGTCTTATAAATATATGGTCCAACATTTTAATTGTTCAGATAAGAATAATGACATTCAAGGGCACTGGGCTGGTTCAGTCAGTGGAGTATAGGACTATTTACCTCGGGGTTAAAAGTTCAAGCCCCACATTGGGTGTAGAGATCACTTAAAAATAAAAAATGAGAAAGTTTAAAAAATAAAGAATATTGAGATCCAGAACATAAAAGGAGATTTTTTAAAAGAGCAAGAGAGAGCACAGCAGCTTAATCTCACTGAGTCCTCAGCTACCCAGTGTTAGGTATGATGTACAACTATTACCTCAGAAAAAGAACCCATGAAAGAGATCTGTAAGTGATTTTAGTCCCAGCTACTCTAGTAAGGTAAAATCTAATATTATAGGAATAAATCTTTTTTGCATTTTGTAATATTATGATAGAAATAGTGAGAACAAACATTCTATTGGAAAATAAGAGTATTCTATGGATAATGAAACAGTTGCACAAAGATTTAAGTGCAAGAATATTCAGTCACTACATAGGAAGGAAATGTTGATCATCTAAATTACCAAAGTTAAGCAACTGGTTAAATATCTCACGGTCCCATCCATAGAATCTAGCACAATACGATCCTTGAAAATGGTTGTGTGAAGGAAACTCTGGATGGTATGGGATGTGTCCATTACCTTAACTGTGGCAATGATATTATGGGTGTTTGTATACATCCAAACTCACCAAATTATGCATATTAAATATGTGCAGTTATTTGCTGTTGTTATTTTGGGGGCATTTTATTTTTAAGTGATCTTTACACTCAACGTGGGGTTTGATCTTCCAACCCTGAGATCAAGAATCACATGCTTTTCTGAATGAGCCAGCCAGGCACCCCTATGGGTAGTTCTTTGTATATCAATTGTCCCTCAAAAAGCCTGATTTTAGAAAATGATTGTGTAGAGGGGTGCCTGGGTGGCTCAGTAGGTTGAGTGTCCGACTGTAGCTTCAGGTCGTGATCTCACAGTTCATGGGTTCAAGCCCTGCAAGAGACTCTCTGCTGTCAGCGCAGAGCCTGCTTTAGACCCTCTATCCCCCCCTCTCTCTGCCCCTTCCTACTCATGCTCTGTCTCTCTCTCTCTCTCTCTCAAAAATAAAAAATAAACATTAAAAAAAATAAAATGATTTTGTAATGATTCTGTAGAGTTCTAGTAATTCACATGGAAAGATGATTTTTTTTTTGCGAGACGAGAGAGAGAGAGAGAGAAAGAGAGAGAGAGAGAGAGAGAGAGAGAGAGAATCCCAAGCAGGCTCCATGCTCATCACGGAGCCCATCATGGGCCTCAATTTCACGACTGAGATCATCACCTGAGCTGAAATCAAGAGTTGGACGTTCAACCGGCTGAGCCACCCAGGTGCCCCAAAAGATGATGATTATTATTTAAAAAAAGAAAACTAAGGAAAGCTAGTTACCAAATAGTATGTTAGCATCAATATTTTAGACATATGTATATAATTAATTTAATTTTGAAATGGCCTGGAAATACGTTCACCAAATTCTTGTCACTGAATCCCTAACAGGTCTGATTATAGACCTTTTTTGCATTTGCATGTTCTAATTATTTGCACTGGGAAAAAGTGTGAGTTTTTTTTGTAATGGGAAACACTTCAAATAAAAAATGAAATAGGAAGGCAAGTTTTTTTATGTCTGAGATGGGGTAGAAGGGGAGATAGGAAAAGGAAAAATGAGGGGAACAGCTCTAACCTACTTGTTAAGGAGGAGCTGAGTGCAATCTAGACAAAGAAAGGATTGAACTTAAAGAGTGGGTGCTTTAAACCTGAAATGGGATACTGCTCCAAAGAACACTTCTCAGATACTGGGATAAAGAACAACTAGATGATCTTGATATATACAATTTGATGATTTCAACTGATTGAGTAAATGAAGTAAGCTAAATCACCTCCATACCTTCCTATGTGTCATTTGTACCTCTCTGATTTTATCACATTGTATAAGTTGATCTTAAGTAATCAGCCGGAAATAAGTCAGACAAAGACAAAAACCATATGATTTTGTTTATATGTGGAATCTAAAACAAAACAAAACAAAAACCCAGAAACTTGTAAATACAGAGAACAAGCTGGTGGTTGCCAGAGGGGAAGTGGGAGGGTGAATAGGATTAAGACGGCCAAACTTCCAGTCATAAAATAAATAAGTTACGAGGATGAAAAGTACAGTGTAAGGAATATGGTCAATAATACTGCAGTCATGTATAGTGACAGATAGTAACTACACTTATCCTAGTGAAACTAAGTAATATACAGAATTGTTGAACCAATATGTTGTACACCTGAAACTAATATAACAGTGTATGTTAATTATACTTCAATAAAAAATTATAATCAGCTAGATATATGATGTATACATTATTATATACTTCACAGAATTTGCAGAAGGTAGGTTTTGGACACAGGATATAACCTAAAGGTAAAATATTCAGTATTCCCTTTCAATGTGTCATATAAAGTGATTAGCAGGAAGCCTGAACCATTGTCCATTTCAGTTATTTCTTGTCTGTTTACATAAATCTATTTATGTAAGAAAAAGACATTCAAAATTGAGAGACTCTAGAAATCCCCAAATATTGGGGGGGAATCAATCTTTATCTCTTTCTCCTGGCAGGTCACCATTACCAACTGTCAAAGTGAAAGAAAATTTATTATAGAAGAAGCTAGAAAGCATTCACAAGTATTTCTCTCTCCGTGACTGTAAACTTGAGAAAAATGGTTCCAGTGAAAGTGTGAGTCAGTCCTTTATAGCACATTTTTAACCGGGAACATGAAACTGGCTGCACTGAAGAGAAGACAAGTTTCATTTAATGAGACTAAATAGAATTTTATTACTGGGGGGAAGCTTAGAGGTTTTCTTAAATCCTGTCTCCTCCCTTCATTTTATGGAAAAAGTTGTGTCCAAATGGTATTTTGACTTTCCCAAAGATGCTCAATAATGACTTTCTGATCAAGGGCTAATCCCCTGACCCATCTCCCAATGGGAAGCACTCTCCACAACACATTTTCAACAGATATTTATAAAATTATCTCCCAAGATGATCTTCCTTTTCTTCTTTCTTAAAGGAGACCCTGCCTGCCACGTAGTCATCCCCATGGGAAATTGGAGCTCAGTGACTGAATTCACCCTGACCGCCTTTCCCACTCTCCTGGGGCTCCGAATACTACTCTTTGTGGTTCTTCTGCTGACTTACACGTTAACAGCAACAGGAAATATTATCATCATCTTCCTAATATGGACTAATCATCACCTGCAAACCCCAATGTACATTTTCCTCAGTAATTTGTCTTTTCTGGATATTTTATACACCACTGTTGTTACACCAAAGTTGCTAGCCTGCCTTCTAAGACAGAAGAAAACCATATCCTTTGCTGGTTGTATCACGCAAACCTATTTCTACTTCTTTCTGGGGACAGTGGAGTTTATCCTCCTAGCAGTGATGTCCTTTGACCGCTACGTGGCCATCTGTAACCCCCTGCGCTATACCATCATCATGAACAGCAGGACCTGCCTCTTTCTGGTTCTGAGCTGCTGGGTAGGAGCCTTCCTGTCCGTGTTGGTACCAACCATTGTAGTGACAAGGGTACCTTACTGTGGAAAAGAAATTAATCATTTTTTCTGTGACATTGCCCCTCTTCTGCAGGTGGCCTGTATAGATACTCACCTCATTGAGCAGATAAACTTTCTCCTATCTGCCCTTGTCATCCTGAGCTCCCTGGTATTCACTACTATGTCCTATACCTACATCATCTCTACCATCCTGCGTATCCCCTCAGCCCAAGGCCGTCAAAAAGCTTTTTCTACCTGTGCTTCTCATATTACGGTGGTTTCCATTGCTTATGGCAGCAATATCTTTGTGTATGTGAGACCCAATCAGAACAATTCCCTGAATTTTGACAAGGTAGCTGCTGTCCTCATTACAGTGATAACCCCTCTCCTGAATCCTTTTATTTATAGCTTGAGAAATGAAAAGGTGAAAGAAGTTTTGAGAGAGACGATAAACAGAATCATGTCCTCGATATGAAGGATAACTTGACATCAGTGCTTAGTACATCACACAACATTTCTTATCTTCAACACATTCATTCTGCATGAGTACTGTGCCATGTTGACATTCCAGAAACCTGAGACTGTCAACAGCGTGAGCAATGACCATACCAAACTGAAAGAAATTCTACTTACATCTAGAAGAAAAAAAAAAAAATTGAATCCATCCACGCTTGCACATTTGTGGCTTTAAACCATGAAACATTATCTAAATAGGATTCAGAGGCTTCCAAATCTAGACTTAGCTAAATTGGTTTATTTTCTAGGCGACTTTGACCATGTCACAGCTTATCTGAGCCTTCACATCTCCATCTCTACGTGAATAATAAAAATATCACTACTTGTATTTTTTAAATTTATTTCTGAGAGAGAGAGAGACAGCATGAGCAGGGGAGGGTCAAAGACAGAATGAGATACAGAAAGTGAAGCAGGCTCCAGGCCTGAGCTAGCTATCAGCACAGAGCCAGACGTGAGGCTCAAACCCACAGATTGTGAGATCATGACCTGAGCCAAAGTCGGGCGCTTAACCGACTGAGCCATCCAGGCGCCCTTCACTACTTGTAATAAGACATGTAAAGTTAGAGCATTTTAATGTCTTGTGACAAGGCACAAGACAAGGCACTCTTGAAAATTTCAAGAGATTCAGTGTCCATCTCTTGTATTTATATAGATCAGATGCATATGATTTGAAAATTGAGGGAAAAAGAGGTAAGACTCAGGATGCTATCAAACCTGTGTCTGTAAACCTGAGTGAGTGCTCTTTGGCAGCACATGTATCTTTTTAAAATTTTTTAATGTTTATTTCATTTTTGAGAGAGAGACAGAGCACGAGTCGGGGAAGGGCAGAGAGAGAGGGGACACAGAATCTGAAACAGGCTCCAGGCTCCAAGCTGTCAGCACAGAGCCCAATCCAGGGTTTGAACTCACAAACCATTAGATCATGACTTGAGCCAAAGTAGGATGTTCAACCGATGGAGCCACCCAAGTGCCCCTATAGTACATATATTAAAATTGGAACAATGCCACTGTACAAGGGTGACATCCAAATTCATGAAGCCTTCCATATTGCTCGGTGACATATGGCAACTAGACTTATGGGGATCATTTCATAGTGCACAAAAACATTGAATCACTATGATACACACTTAAAATTAATTCGTGTATCAATTACCTTTTCATTAAAAAAAGTACTAAAAAAGAAAACCCAAGTGAAAGGTAGAGATATTTGCTGAGAAAAGGAACATAAGAAAGGCAATTCATGAATAACTTTGGTAAAATGTTTAATAGAATTTGGGGAGTAAAGGACAAAATAAAGCAAGTGAAATAGTGTGCATATATAAAGACACAAAATATAAACATAGTGAACACTTTCAAGAAGGTTAGCAGATCCTCAACAATAGCCAAATTGTGGAAAAGCCCAAATGCTCATTGCCTGATGAATGGATAAAGAAGATGGTGTATATATATACATGTAAGGAAGACTTGCAAATCAGAGCTCCCATAGCTGTGTTAAAGTCCAGATCATCTATTAGTTCTTTTCTCAGTCACCTAAATTTTTTGTGATCTAAGTAGCTCTTATCTTTTTCTGGCTCTACAAACAAACAAAACAAAACAAAACAGAAAAGGAATGCTTGGATGGCTCAGTCAGTTAAGTATCTGACTCTTGATTTCGGCTCAGCTCATGATCTCACAGTTTGTGGGTTCAAGCCCTGCATCGAGCTCTGTGCTGACAGCTTGGAGCCTGCTTCGGATTCTCTCTCTCCCTCTCTCTGCCCCTCCCCCACTTGTTCTCTCCCTCCCTCTCCCTCACTGGAGCAAAAGAAAAGAAAGAAAGGAAGGAAGGAAGGAAGGAAGGAAGGAAGGAAGGAAGGAAGGAAGGAAGGAAGGAAGGAAGAAAGAAAGAAAGAAAGAAAGAAAGAAAGAAAGAAAGAAAGAAAGAAAGAAAGAAAGAAAGAAAGAAAGAAAAGAAATATAAAAGAAAAGGAAAGGGGTGCCTGGGTGGCTCAGTCAGTTAAGCGGCTGACTCTTGATTTCAGCTCAGATCATGAGTTCAAGCCCCACATCAGGCTCTGCACTGTTGCCACAAAGCCTGCTTGGCATTTTTTCTTTCCCTCTCTCAAATTAAATAAACATAAAAAGGAAACGAAAGGATAGGGAAGGGAAGGGAAGGAAAGAAAAGGAAAAAAGCTTTAGTTAAATTGTATGGTCCACAGGGGTGCCTGGGTGGCTCAGTCGGCTGAGTATGCAACCTTGGCCCAGGTCATGACCTCATGGTTCATGAGTTTGAGCCCCATGTCAGGCTCTCTGCTCATGGCTTGGAGCCTTGGGCCTGCTTGGGATTCTGTGTCTCCCTCTCTCTCTCTCTCTATATATATATCTATATATATATATATATATATATATAGAGAGAGAGAGAGAGAGAGAGATAGATATATCTATATATCTCTCTCTCTCTCTCTCTCTCTCTCTCTATATATATATATATATCAAAAATAAACGCTAAAAAAAGTTTTTTAATTGTATGGTCCATTACCATTGTGTTTATGATGATCATTTTTTTCTCAGTGTGGGAGCCCGACAGTGACCACAAGAAAGCGTGGTTAGGGACTCGGAGATGTGCCTGCACACGGGACTCTCTGCTTGGGCAGATCATGCCAGCAAACAGGACGTTCTGCCAAAAGGCCTGCACACAATGTCCAAGGTTAATGATCTGCTCTCACACGAGGGAACATGCCCTCCTTAGAAGTAAGGAGGAGGCTGGAGTTGTGGGCAGGCCTCTTAGTAAAAATGTTGTGGTCGCTTTCTCCCTTTGCTCCCCCCTGTCCTTGAAATGTGTTTGGCTACTTGCCCTTATTTGGTAAAGGAATGCATCTTGTAAATCTCAGTTTGTATTCAGTTACCGGGGTATAAAATAAACCGCAAGAGGGGCTTGCGTAGAATTGTTCCTCCGGCCGGAGTTGTGTCTGTGTCTGTCTTTTGTGTGTGTCTTGTCTTTGTGTCATTTTGTCCGCAACACTCAGAGTTAATTCTTCAGTCGTATTTATTCATACAAGATGTGTTGAGGACACTTACTGAATCTGTATAATAGTCTCTGGATCTATATCTTCATTCTGACATTTACTACCAGTATGATTCTAGGCAATCACCTAATCTCTCTTTACTTTACTTTCCTTATCTATGAAATGAATTTGATAATTTCCATGCTGTGATGTTACTGTAAGATAAACTTGAAAACACTTACATCACTGAATAAATATTAGCTATCCTTTTTAGGACCCTGTATAAAATTATACAGGAGGCGATAAAGATAAAAAGAAACAGGACATGATCTCTACCCCTAAGTAATTCACATTTTAATTCGAGAGAAAATGATAGAAAAGAAAATATTATGAATGATACCTTCTAAAAATAAAGGAATTAATACCTCTCATTTTGGACATAGTGGAGGAGTAGCAGAGATTTTTAACCTTCTGACTTAAACAACTATAAAATGCAAAAGTGCACAAAGCAATGATTTTCAGACATTGGTTGACAAGCAGTGGAGGATTATGAGCACTGTGAGCAGGGAAAGGAAGTGAACCGTACAACTACCCCAGTGTGCAGGCTGAATGCAGTTTCTAGGCGGCAGCATGGGGCTGGAGCATTCAACCTGAGGCTGGCAGGGTCTCTGAATTGAGCAGACACCGATCAGAGTCTGAGGAGGTGGGATGACTTGGGAAAGAGGACCAAAGATGAGAGATGTCCCTAGAAAACTCTGGAGTTCCACAGGTTACCCTTGAGATTTTGGTTGAGTATAGATCTAAGCATCCATCAAAAAGAAACTACCTGAAGGTGTGTAAGGATCCATGGAAAACTAGTAGGCCAAATAATTTTTAGTGACCACATGGGGATGGACATGGCTTCAGTTCCCAGCAGCCAAAGTGAAAATACGTAGGGCATAAGATAAAGCAATGGGGATTAATTACCCCTAAAGCAAAAGCAAATCTAGCTTTTTCACGAAAGATTTTTTTAAAATGTTTTTTAAATTTATTTCTAGGAGAGAGAGAGAGAGAGACAGCGTGAGCAGGGGAGGGTCAGAGAGAGAGGGAGTGACAGACTCTGAAACAGTCTCCAGGCTCTGAGCCGGCAGTCAGCACAGAGCCCGACGCGGGGCTCGAACCCACGAAGCGCGAGATCATGACCTGAGCGAAAGTCGGACGCTCAACCGACTAAGCCACCCAGGCGCCCCTCACGAAAGAGTTTTAAAACAAGATTTGTAAAGATCAACCTGGTCTCCAAGCAATGAAATGCCTAGGAGAACAAAGTCTAACACACCTTAAAAAAATTCAACCAGGGGCGCCTGGGTGGCTTAGTCGGTTAAGCGTCCGACTTTCGCTTAGGTCATGATCTCACGGTTCATGGGTTCGAGCCCCGCGTCGGGCTCTGTGCTGACTGCCGGCTCAGAGCCTGGAGCCTGTTTCAGAGTCTGTGACTCCCTCTCTCTCTGACCCTCCCCTGCTCACGCTGTCTCTCTCTCTCCTAGAAATAAATAAAACATTTAAAAAAAAAATTCAACCAAATCCATGTAAAAGGCACAGCATCCAAACAAAAATTTGTAGGCATACAAAAGAGGAGGATATTGTGAAATATAATCAGGACAGAAGTCATCAAAAGAAACAGACCCAGAATCGATGGGAATTATCAAGCAAAGAATATTTAAACAGCTATTATAAATACATTCCATATGCTGAGGATATAGAATTTAAAACTATTTGATGATTAACTCATTAAATGATTAAAATTAAAGATGATTAAAAAAACATTTATTATAGGGGCACCTGAGTGGCTCAGTTGGTTGAGCATCTGACTTTGGCTCAGGTCATGATCTCATGGTTCGTGGGTTCAAGCCCTGCATCAGGCTCACTGCTGTCAGTGCAGATCCTCTGTCCCCCCCTCTCTCTGCCCCTCCTCCACTCATGTGCACGGTCTCTCTCTCTC